AAGTTTTCAGTTTTGAAGAGAGGACGAGAAAACTGCCACTGATCCTCGGAATCATTTCTTTAGCCAATCCATGATTTTTCACTGTTTTAATACTTAAAATATTTTTTGAAAAGTTTGTGTTCTTCTCTTGACATCATTCAGAAAAAGAAAAAGCCTGACACAAGTACTACCTTTCTTAAAAGACATTTAAAAATTATAAGTGTAGATTCTAGCTGACTTGTTTGTCAATTCTCAAAAATATCAATTTACATCCTAAGAACAACTGGCATAATTCCAGAAAGGGAATACTCTCCATATCCTTCACTGGTCAGCAAGGAACCAAGTCGCTGATGTTCAAAACTGAGCCTTCCCCATAGGACCACAACTGATGCTACAGAAGGAGAAACCATAGTTCAAGATAAGCAGTTCTTTTATGAAGCACAGTGTACATTCAGATTGTTGCAATAGGAAGACTTAGGAAGACTTACATGAGTAACTTGTTGGTGTTTATGCAAACACAAGGCCTATTTTGTCAACACCACGTTTATGCCTTTAGGAATACATAAACTTAACATAAGGAAATGCATCCACTATATAAGTACTACATCTGTGCTACTGTTTATTTATAAACAAATAATGCTTAATAAAACAATGCTCTATAATGTGGTTTTCTGGCAGAGCTCTGCATTGACAGACAAGATTCTTAAATTCAATTCCAAGCTTTCAGGCTGTAGATTTTGAAGTGCTTCTGTGAACAGTTTAATCATTCCAACAAGAGCTCCCTGAATTATAGTGGGAAAAATAGAGTCATTCTTAAGATTTCAGTAAGAACTACAGAAAACACTACCATTACATGTATTTCAGGTTTTTGGGCTAGGCTTTTTTTTCTCTTTTTTTGGGGTTTTTATTTTTTGTTTTGGATATGTTGTTTTTTGGTGGTTTGGTTTTGGTTGGTTGGTTGGTTTGTGGGTTTTTTTTTTTAAATTCAAAGGGATACCTTCCTATCAGTTTATGGAGTTGCAAGCAATGAATTTACAGATTATTTTATCATTTTCCTTAGTCATCAGCACATTACTGTAGGCATTGCACTAAAATGCGTCATTTCATCCTTCTGAAGTTTTATGTATCACTGTCTTCTGAGTGTGGGATGATCAAAACTGGTCACAATTACATCTTTTATGCACCCTCTCCATAGTTTCATAAGACAACTGATGATTCAGATGCTCTAGGAGGCTCCAGCTTTAACACTGCAACAGGTTTCTTCTAACTTATCTGTGATATACCCTGAAAAAGCATATTATTTGATAATATCGCAGTCAATATTCACCCATCACTTGTGTTAAAATGTCCATATCACATATCTGGCTGACAGGTGACAAAAATGCCAATTAATGCTTGTTACTTTTGCTATGTTTGCATCTGAACGCCACCCTAAAAAATATTACAAGAAGTGAAGATTACTTAAGCAGATATAAAAGACAAAACTAACACTTTTTGCTACCAGAGTCAAAGAAGCACCTCCATGCAACAAAACTTGCTGTTAGCAGTTTCATCCTCACACCCTTGGCTAGGCAAAGTGAGCTTACAAATGTTAAAGATATATTAACTTCAGATGGCAACAAAGAACCAACCCTTAAATATATCCTTTTACACTTCTTAATAATTTATTCACATATTTATTTAAAACTGTATATGGTCACATACCCCACAAGATAGTTGGAAGGTACCTTATTTTGTTAGGCAAACATCATTTACTTTTCCATCTCTCCCACACCTACATGTTTATGATGACTTTTACAAATATCTTATCACAATCCTAGTATCAAAACATTGCAACCTCAAAATGAGAAAACCTATCAAAATAACCCCATCAGCCCATATAAACATACCCCAATCCAATAAATCAGCACGTTACCAGGCATTACTGTGTTGTTATTTAAGTAGCAAAAACCAACCATGCCCTTCCTTGTCAAAGGTTCACCATTCCTATACCCACTGCTGATATACCAGCTACTAAAAGATCCCAACCCAATTCCTCTTGGGGCTCAATTCTGTTCTAAAATCCATGGATTAGCAATGTCCAATCTACTACAGGATGCAGTTCTGAAGTAAGGTTGTATCCATATTATCTTCAGTCAACAACATAATCAGCAGGCCAAGAAAAGCCACCATCCAAAATACAAAGTAGACAAAAAAAAAGGATAGTTTATATAGGGTGATCAAAAAGTTAACATGAACATACAAAAGAATTGTAAATACACGTGATCTGATCAATCTAATTCTTTGTAGCTGTAAAAGTTTTTTGAAGAAAAAATTAATTTCACAAAGTAGAAAATGTGAATGCTTTCTTCCGAATTATTATGTGTGTTCAAACCCCAAAATTTTAGATGACTTCATAATAGCACAACAGCAGAATTTATCTTACAGGAGACTTCCTAACTGACATTTCAAGAAATCTTGAGTCCTTGTACCTTTTTATTAAAAAAAAACAAAACACCCCCCAAACCCTTCTTTAGCATAACTTTAGCAAACATACGAGAAGTATCAGCACTTGTTTAAAAGAAACCCCCAAAAACACAAACCCTGAGCCTTGAATCTTGTTAACGTCATTACAGTTATATTCCACAACTGTAGCAAGAAGAGGAAAATTACTATGAAATAACAACAACAATTCCTATATTTAATGTTATTTAAAAATCAAAGTGTTACCTAAGGCAATTACCTTGCAGCCTTTTAATATCTACAGGGAAAAGCCTAAGGGAAAATAATTGACTTTGCTAATTTTACCCTTGGCAATTATAAAATAGCTCTGCATTTCATTACGACTACAGAATTTCACATCTAATTGTCAGCCCCGAGAGAAGCACAGAGATAAATGCATCATACACAAGCTTAGACAAGAGTTTAACAGCACAATAAAATTATCTTGGTAGCAGTGGTTTCAGTTAATGTTAAAAACCCCTTTAGTTTAAATTCCGGTCTATACAACAGCTATGCACGTCTATAGAGGTTATAGCCTAGCATGGTCAGTACCATGTACAATACAACGCTGCTCATTTCATTAGCCAATTTGCTGAGCTACCAAATAAATGCCAGCAAAAGCGCGGTACTGTGATTTTTACTTTGTACATCAAAGAAAACAAAACATTATGAAGGAAAAAAGTCACAGTTATTTCACACTGCTGAAAAACAGATGCCAGATTTGAAAATTCATCATTTACAAAAGAATAAATACAGTATGTTTAAATCATTGCACCTGTCAAGAGATTTCTATAGCTTGTACTTCAATTTTTCTAACTTCGCTAGTAGGGTTAGACGTATGAAAAAGAATAATTTACTAAGTCAATCAGTTTCCATAATGGCATCCCACTTATCGTATGTAGAAGCTATGAAAGTATTTAGATGTCAGAAAAATGAAAAAAAGTGCTAAAATGTTTTGGCAGAATTTTCCGACATGCAGTATAATGATTGCTTTAAAAAAAAAAAAAAAAAAGTATTTCTTTGCACTTGTGCTTCATTTTACTGTAGACTTGTTTCCTGGGAAGCCTTCAGGGATTATACATTGCTGCTGCAATACTTAATGATGTACTAAATGCAAAGTAATAGGTGCTACATTTTATAAAAGTTTCCTCTTATGCTGAAACAAAAAATTGATGTAGGGTTAAATCCTTTGGTCTGTCTTGAGAATCTTACTAAGTACTAAAAAAAAATGAACGGATACAAATCAACAATAATTAGTAAAATCAATTGCACCCCATTTTGGTTATGGTATGACTAAAATTTTGCACCATTTAAAACTTTTTTAATGCTTGCTACCAGTTATCACCATAATGGCTTAACCCACTATTCCAGCAGATTGACATCTAATTTTCTGTCTCTTCTCCTGAATCTCAGCTCTATGTTACAAAATGACACCACTTTTGAGAGAAACTGTCACACTTATGATCAAAGCAGTACAGAAATACTCAACTACCATCATGAGGAGCTTTAGCATGAGAATCTAAAAACAATAAACTCCTTAAGCTCGGGATTAAAACGATGTTGATTATTGACAATTGCACGCATGACAAACATTTATTTTACATTATGATATGGCAGCAATCTTCAGACATATAAAAAGTACCCCTGCAAAGAAGAATCCTTCTCTGTTTCCACTGGAATGGCACACTAAGCTCTTCAGCCACACACGTAGTTAGGTGTTACACTAGACTGGCACAAGGATGCCCAGGAATCTCTTTCCACCACGAGAGGTTTTAAGAACAAGCTAGACAACACGTGTAAAGAATGATTTGGTGTAGCTGATCCTGTCTGGGGAAAAGAAGAACCGACTACAGAGATGATCTCTTAAGGTCTCCATCAGTCTCATTGTCTAAGATCATACATACATACAATTCATTTGTCATGAAAAACATTTCCCTGTAAAGTTTCAAACAGTTTGGCTGAGCAGCTGGATCACAGCTGCCCTTTAGAAGCCAGTACATCCACGTTAATAGGGCAATCCAATACTCAGGGGAGACCACATGCCTAACAAAACAATTTCATTACGAGTAAAAAGTCACCTGAGCGCTGTGTAGACAAAGAAATAAAGCCTTTTCCCCCAAGAATTCCGTAAGACAGACAAACCTTTCACAAAGCACAAGGTAAAACAAAATAACAAACCAAACATGTCTTCAGCTGGCAGTCTGCCAGAGGTGTTGTACTCCGACATGTCACGAGGATGCCACTGCATATATGTTAAAGTCACCAAATTAACCACTCATCCATTACTACCTATGGCTACACTGCTTCAGAATGTATACTAAAGGCCTCACCACAGTAATTCTATAGGACAGCGGTAAACATGTTCACAACAGCAGCAGCCTGTCAATCCATCTACAGCTAGAACGTAAGGATGCTTATTTTTAAAGCGTGCTCCATACATACATACATATCATAACTGCTGATTTTTTAAAGGACCTCTCTTTCGGAAGACTCACTTACAGTTACTTGCTCTGGCAGTAGAAGAATTTTTTTCTTTTTACCTTGGTATTCTGCAACTGCGCAAGGCTTGTGCAAGCATTTGCTAGAAGAAAATCTCCACTCAAAATAGCCATTTTATTTCCAAACTGCATATCCTTCAGCGGGCCATTGCATGACTTGAGCTCACCAATATTTACTATGCCACGATGCACCAGAAAGGCAGTGTGGATCAGTTCCGTAATCTCGGCCAGACTTCGTTGACTGAAAGCAAAGAAAAAGTACAATTACTTTTGACGCCATGAATAAAGATATAGATTCTTAGGGGAAAAAAACACACAGGTCATGCTGTGTAGTAAACAGATATTTTATTATTTGTCATGTAGCTCTTCTATTTACTTCTAGAAGCCACAACCAGGAAGTGTTAAGCAGAGAGAAGTATCTCATCAGGCTCTTAAGTATTTCCAGGTAAGCTGCGGGTACCACAGGTTCCATTTGGAGGAACACTGTCCTTTGTTTGAATTCTTTCGGGGGGGGGAAAAATTTTTTTGGGGGGGGGGGGGGGGAATCTAAGTAATCAATATAGTCCTCATGGTGCTTTCTTTTCTTGTTTTGTCTTCTAGAAGCTTGAGGGACACTGACATGAAGAAAATGCCAAGCAGAAAGTACTGATGGGAAGGAACAAAGGACGTATCAGCAGGGGAGTTGCGAGCAAGCCGATCTGAACACCGTAAGAATGCTGCAGTCAATGACTGCTCAAATTAGAGTTAAATTAATAACAGGATACCTTGCAGTTCAATAATACCAAGGGGGAAGGGCGTAGGGGGGAGAGGAGAAACAGCTGAACATTTTAAAACTCTGTACTAACGATATGTCACTGGTTGTTTTAGTCAGAAGAAGCAAAGGTGATTGTCCAGCAAAGAGGCAGACCCAATTTTATTTGGATAGGTTTACAAATCACTTCTTATTCCAACACACAGTGTGCTACATTCTGAATTTAGGGGTTTCAAATCCCTGTGAGAGGCTTGCCACAGAGGTTATCCCATAGAGGCTTGCCCTCCATTTATTTTCATTTTTTGGAAAAGGCATGAAAAAAAGTCATTAGCACAGCCTGCTCCTCCCCTCCTCCCGCAATTCAACCCTGTAGCCCCCGATAGTTAGCGACTGTCACTCCAAGGAGCCCAGAGATGTCACCTTAGCTCAGAACTACAACAGGGCGATGAACAGACATAATAACTGAGCAGGGACAAGGGGAGGGGGGGAACGGAGCAACGCACTGGAGCATTCTCTTAACGCTGCAAGCCTAGATACACACAGGCTCCCCTCTTATGAAATCTTCAGCACATTCACATCTTTTCTGACTCAAGCAATTCCCTTTATGTCATGGAGACTTCCTTCACATATGAGCAAAAACGTGATGCATGCCCTCAGCTAGACAGATGAGTAAAAGGCCTTAAAGTTCAAATTAAATTGCAACCTAGTACAAAGGCACGTTATGGTCCCTGTGCTTATTCAAAAGTGGCCAAGCACTGATTCATTGAGTAACCAACTGCTCCATGCCTTCACATATGCATATACTGGCTGATACATGCTCAGGTTAGATTATGCCTCAGTACCGGCACAGTACCAAGTACATTAATACTGTTTCCTCTGGACAGTGCAGATGTGTTGCAACCGTCCCAAACGATATTAATCTAAAGTAACCTTCTGCCCCAAATATATCTGACCTGCGAAGAGCCCCAGCAGCAACTGTTTCAGGCCAGTGATCCGTGCCAATTAGCAAGAGAGAAGAGCTAGTAGAGCCACACAGCCCAGGCAGGCATGCAAAAGATAGACGAGCTGAGGGGAGAGGATAAACAGAGGTTCCCAACGTATTTTGTCACACACAAAAAAATTAAGCTGTTTTAAAAGCTGCCTTTATAATTCAGTTTTTGCTCCATGCAGAGAAAAACAACATGAAAACAAAACAGCTAGCCATTCTCCATGTAGACAACGAAATTGAAGGTTGATGCTGTTTTTCAAAGAGGCGAGGGAGAAACTCGCACAACCTACAGCCGCAGTATTGTAATCACGCTTGGCTCGGCTCTAACAAAGGGTTAATAAAATTTCAAGCTCGGAGAAAAAGACTAACAAGACATCCCGATGCTCCTGCTGTCATTGTCAGGGCAGCCCTTGGAGGAAATGTCCATATCAATTCGGTTTATCAGATGGACAGCTGATCAACATTAAACAGACTTGCTCTGGGCAGATTGAGCCAAGCTACCTGTTATGAATAGCAATGAGAGCCCTCTGCTCCCTGCTGCCGAGCTCTGCCATTTCCGACTGCCGCAGATCCCAGGACATATGGGGATCCCTCGTGACGAGCACATAAAGCTGCAGCTAACTCAAGCGACGGCTCATTTCCCCCAGCTGAAAGCAGGCATTAATATCCTGAGGAGATCAGGCCCGCCTCTGTGACCCCCAACCATTGAAGCAAAACGACGACTGTCCTATTTCTTCATTTAATAAGCTTTTAATGAAGGAAATCAAAATCCCCTCTTTGACTTCAGCATCACTCTTCATGAAAAGGTTACACAAATACATCAGTGTCATGCTTTCCAAATGCTGGGGATCTGGATGTTTTCATTTCTTTTTCTGTAATCCGTTTGTTCTCCAAACGGTATTCATATTATTTGTGCTAACGAGAACCATATTAGGCAGATAATCTGCATCCAATTCTGATCTTATATACCGCTCTTCCACCCTCTCTCTCTAGCAAACTAAAAATATAAGAACCAAAGCTATTGCAGAAATCCCAGGCAACAGATTTCTTAAATTTTTTTGTGATAACCCCCATAATAACCAGGCACAACTAAGAAGTCCACAGTGCTGGTACGGATACAGGAGGGTTCTTGACATGACTCTAAAACATCCAACAAAAAATTCCCCACTGTTATTAAGTTGCTATTGAATGGCTAAAGCAATACTATATACAGCTTTCTCAATCTGAAGCACAGTTCAGTGATTAAATAATTTTGTATTTGAAAGCAGCTAATCCCAAAATACAAAAAATTAATGTTTATATAATGGTGGACTTACAACAACATACAACAGAGTACAAGAGCAGAAACAACAGGGCAACAGGATTACGAACTCCTACTGCTTCCATCCTGTTCCCGCTCCAGAGCCCATGTTCACACAACAAAGAAGTGGTTGCCACAAGAATTACTCACATAGCAAGGTAGTACTGAGAAAACAGTCAATGTTTTTAAAATACACGAAGTCTCTAAATAGAAGCAGGCTAAGAATAAGGAATGCTTTTTCACAAAATGCTAAAATACTTCCATCTGTCCTTCATGGCCTTCGCCACTGAAGGAAGAACTCCCTGCAAACCACCACCAACTGCCCCATAGACTCCACTTACAGACATCATGTTTCAAGAGACGATACTGTTCTGAGCTCCACACGTCCCTTAATCTCCTTTTCCTTCTCCCCTTCCATAAATCAACCCCCATGCATTAATGTTGTTCCAAAGAGGGTGGTACAGAGGCTTGGACAGTACCTGGGGGATCTGACTAAGAAGTTTTTATGGGTCACAGTCAAACAGGCACAAGTTCTGCTGTTAGGTGCATTATTTAAGCAGGGTTAATTGTGAAACACAGCCCCCCCTCAACTAAGAGAATACCAGAATGGTTGAGGTTGGAAGGGACCTCTGGAGATCATCTGGTCCAACCCTGCTGCTCAAGCAGGGCCACCTAGAGACAGTTACCCAGGACCACGTCCAGGCAGCTTTTTAATATCTCCAAGGATGGAGACTCCACAACCTCTGTTTCTGTAAACAGGACAACAGGACATACTGGCTCATTACCCTTTCAAGTCAATTACCATCTACCACTTCAGCGAATACTTTTCCCCCCGCCTCTTCCAGTCTTTGTTAAGATCCTCAGACTTGTTCTCGGCTCTCTTCTTTTTTCGCCCTAGTCTTTACTTCATGAAAATCTTAATTCACAGACTTTTCTTGCCTGTGGTGTAAAAGGGAGCAGCATGTAAGCTGCCTCTTGTTTTTCTGCTCTTGACTGTTTGTTCCTGCACTTTTAGCACTAGTGTAACTAACCTAAATCTCTGTAAAATGCTTGCTATAAAGTATCCCTTAGGTTATGAGCTCCTCAAGCTGCACATGTCATCCTGGAAGGTACAAAGGAAACACTAACTTCACATGTAATTAAAAAACTCTCCAGCAAGGTCAATTGGAGCTATATTGACTCTAGGACTGTGAAACACCAGCTTGCAGGGAAATACTAAAAAAATGCGAAATTAAGTTATATAGATAATTAGATCCTGCAACAAGAAAAACAAGTGCATTTTCTATCCTTCCTCTTTGCTCCCCTCCCCCAGTGAAGTCACACAGATCATTGACATTCACGTATGTTTTGGTGAACTTTGATAAACTGCTGAGCAGACTTCAAGAAATCTTTTATATCTGCCCTTATAAACTAATGCAGTAGCTGCAACATCCTACTGCTGCGATGCTAAAGTAAGGAATACAGGTTTTATGGAAACCCCACACTCATACAGGCACCGCATCTACAGAGAAAAATAAAGAACTAATGGAGAAACTTTGTAAATATGCTTCTATCTCAAAAAACACATTTCACAATTTTGTTTTGGATTAAAATTTCCTATTTGTATGCCTGGGAGTCTGCCTCATCACAGTATCACCATTACTAATGGTCTTATTACAGAGATTAACATCTCACGCAGATTTCAACACAAATTTTAAAGCCTACACAAAACTAAATGAAATGGCAAGGGGGATTGGCAAAATATTGAAACAAAATTCTGTGGAAATAAAATAGGTTTTGATAGCAAATTTCCTGTGCAACCTTTTAAAATTAATTCCTTCCTGTCATCCTGAATACCCTCTTTGTTGTTTGTGTTATCTTTAAAGGCTTGCAGCTATGAAACATTAGCCAGTACAATGTCTTGAGGAGTTCTTATACGTGACTTCAGTCCCTAATTTCAAGTCCTACTCTAAAAAGAAATAATAGCATTTTGCAAAACATATGATAAAATAGAAAGATTAAATAGCTCAATTGTATTGCTGTGAACAAAAGAGTACTTCAGCTTAAACACTCCTCTGCAATATTTGCAATGGAAACTCAAGCTCTCAGTAACAGCAAGAAAACTTGAGTCAGTTTACCTTTCATTATCAGCTGTCAGAAATACACTGGCCCTCTCAAAGGATGATAGGTTATGCAAAGAACCATTTAATAATTTAAAATGTT